GTAATGACAACCCATCGGCGGTGGCTGACAGCCGGCTGGAGAGGTGATTTAGGGTACCCCATACTATACATTGCGTTTTCCCGGAACAAATAGGCCCCTGCCTTCCCAGTATAGTTCTATTCAAATGTCACGAACTCCATGAACAACAGGCCGTTCATCCGCATCGATCAACTCTACGAATCGAAGATTGATTAGTTGATTGATTGGTGGTTTGCGACGTGAACGCTTGAGTGGTGAGTTATTGCTTGGCTGTGTAACAGCGAACACTTGAACAAATTTGAAGCCAGACCAACCAGCAGTTAATCAATCAATATTTCGGAGCGGGCCCACTAACTCTACAAAGCCCGATATCGATTGAAAAATTGTCGTGAAAAATTAACAGGAAATTTAAATAAAACAGAGAAATTTAATCGTCACGGGTTCTTCGGGACTTTTTGTTGTCCACAGTTTTGATTCACTTTCAGTGTGAATTCGAGTTGTAGACCCTAGCGTGTATTGATTGATATATTGATTGTATCCCAGCCAAGAAGTGTTTCAGGGGCTTCAAGGTACAATTGAGGATGTGAGGACAATAAAATCAGTAAAGGTGTTGAAAAAGTCCCGTTCTTCCTCTGGAAAAGTCTTGTTCACCCTGAAAAAAAAACTCGACTGCGGTGATTTTCAGGTTCCCACGAGGAACGACCGTATACGGTAGCAATCCATTGTCTACGACGATGCCATTCGTGACAGATTACCTTCGCTGAATACGATGAGAATCGAAGATATCAGCGGACGAACGGGGTCATTCCGCTTCGCTGAGCCCTTTTCATGGCCAACTCAGGAAACAGAGAGAAATGTAAACGTGGTATCGCCGCAATCAGTCGGGGCGTCCCGAGAGGAGTGAAGTGAGCCCCCGCGGCGTTCTCACCATTGGTTGTTTCTTTATGAATCGATAACTATCGATTCCACTTGGTAGAAAAAAGCAGTCGGGGGCGGGATCTATCCGCTCTCTTCCCCGCCGAAACCACCCCTACTGTTGCGACCTTATCAACTATCTATATGATGTCACCACTTAGTAATAAATTACATTTTCTTCTTCTATCAAGCTCCACAGGTCTCCAAGAGTATTACCACTGCTTGGGCGATCTGATAAGGACTGGTCGGCCGGGGAGCAGTTACGCAACCTGGACGGTGACACGTCGGTGTTCTCACCTGATATGAGACCTTGGTCTGCCACCATTCGGGTTTCTGCTTTTCGGCACACTTTGGTGAGAGCACCACGATAAGAATGGCACCAGCGAACATTGCAAGCCATGAGAGCCAGAACAGGGCGAACAGGATGGTCCTAAAAGGGAACATTAATTGTTCGATCAATTATCGATCGGTTAAATGCCTGTTCAGGCAAGAGCATTTGAATGTTCCTATCATTGCATTTCATATGAAATTCAATATGCAACATCTACACAGCCTCTAATGAACGGATTCCTTATTTATGAGCAACGGCCATTTTATGATAAAGTAGAAAACCCTTCGAAATTACTCCAATAATTATATTCGTGGTTGTAACAGGTGCTGTCCGGCTTTCTTTTTTCATGGGGGATTGGAGAGAAGGTAGCATTTATTACTCTAGTTCCTTTTGACCCGCTTACCATGACCACGATCCGCGAATCACACCCCAGCTCCGGTCCAGGCCAGTCAGGCCTTCTAACTCAGGAATTCGGTACCGGATTTGCCTAGGAGGATAAGAGCCCTGACCTGTACATCGGCTGTCCCCGCAGTTCACTGTATAGACCATGTTGCTTACATTAGGCTCACAAGGCTCTTAATGGGAGTAGAATGCGTGCGGCATGCCAAAAAAGGATTGGTCAGTGACGAAAGCTCTACTCCTGGAATGGGGTGTGGGCCTGATAGTTATTCCTTTACCATTGGAACTATTAATCTTTTTTTACCACTATGCTAGTCCACAGCAAACAACCCATTATTGTCGTTAGGAGCTGAATCCAGGCCTTTGGGGTCAAATCAGCAGCAACTAAAAGATCTAACTTTCACAGTAGAAAAATTTTTGTTTACGCGATTTTCCTTGCATCCCTGTTCTTCAGTTAGTCACGGCTATAAAACTGCTGTTCATTATTATAAAAATAAAGCTTAGTGCTGTCTATCATTTCCCCTCAACAGTGAGTTCCCTGGAGGGAAATACCTGTGGGATGAGCAGTTAAAGTCCCATCATTACGCTGCTCAGTATCCTGGCAACCTCTTTTAGGCAGGTGGATACTCCAGTCAATGAGTAGGGGGAACTCAGCTGAAGTTAGTTTCTACAGGGACTATCACTAACAAGGCACATCCTGCCGCTTGCAGAAGTAAGACCCCTCCCCTCCATCGAACAAATACGATCCCCTCACTAGGGATCCCCGATCCGTGCCGTCGTTTCTTACGAAATGCCACCAAACACATAAATCAGCAATTTCAGCCCAAGTCATCTTGTGAAACTGCCAATCTACATTAACGACACACTGCGCCAGTCATGTGGGCGGAGCCGGTCCCACCGTTGTATGCTCCTCATTGGCGTATGCTCATAATATCAAATGAAGGAGCCTGTTTTCTTAATTTCTGCATTGATCTTGAAAACAACAAAAAGTAAATCGTATGACCAGTCACAGAAGCGGAAACAAAAAAGTTAATTCTTTTCAAAAAAAAAGCTAATCTAGGTTTGTGAAACATCGTAGTCCCTTGTTTTTTTTTACTTTTCTTTGCTCCTCTTTACATCTTCAGTTTTTTGGAGACTCTCACATTTTAACGTTGTTCTAGCAGAGCCCCTAGGTTGCCTGAACATGATTTCCACCGTAGTCTTTTACCAACAATAAGATGACGTAGAGGAAAAACTCACCGAACTGGTTTCCAGAAGGGGTCATTACGGTATTTCTCGAGCTGATCCTTCGTCAAACCGACGTTCTTCGGCTCTAATTCGAAGATTACTTTCTCGCCATTCTGTAAATAATTTATAAGTAGTCACACTATCTTCATTGAAAAAATGATATGAAAATGAAATAATAATCAATAAATATCTTAATCTATAATGCTGTACGTAACTCATATGTAACAATTAAAATAAGTTAAAAATCAGAGCTTAGAAGCATAAAAAGTGATTTTTATGATTGCTGTGGTTTCAGCTGCCCATATATTGTCACTGGAAACGAGATGGCTTGTGAACTAGGGTGCGGTTTTTTTAGCGATCGCCTACGGCTCAGGACAGCACTGAATGGTAGATGATATTGCCGTGGCTGCACTTCAATGCACACTCCTCACACGCCCTCTCATTTGCAGAGATAAAGACTGTACATACATAAGTATAACTTGCAAATTAGCATAGTAGAAGAAGATGTAAGCCGGTCCGAAACTTTGGAGGAGGGCGAAATATTAACGTGGTTTCTTCGATGAAAAAACTTGTAAAGGATGGGAAGAATAGGTTTCATTCATGCGGCCGAGCCTATTTATTTATTTATTCGTTGACCTACATATTCATTCAGTTGAGCGAGTAAACTATATTTTTAATCCTTAAGGAACCTTCTTGAAACACCTGAATCTTAAATGCCTTCCATATCAAATGAATTTATTTATTTGTTTATCTCTTTATTTATCTGTTCAAATATGCACATCCTGAACGACGTGAGGATTTCCAAGAAAAAAGAACTTTGAACTGAATTCTGAACTCTGAACTCACTTTTTCAAATGTGGCCTGACCCGACTTTCCTTCTTCTGCCATTAAAGCCTGCTTAGTGGCCATTTTGATGGATCGTGTGATCGCGGAGGCACAGCGACGACGTTCTTTGGCTACACAGGCTGCGTCACGGGTTTAAAGCTGAAGCTGTTTACTCAAACACACTGACTGTAAACGCCAAGCTCATCACCGCACTACGACGAGTTGTATCAATATTGCATCAGTAGTATTGCGTCAGTAAATTTTCATTACTATCAGAACCAGCTAAAGAAATGAAGAAGGGATGACGAAAAGGAAGAAAAGATGGAGGTCAGGTAGGAAGAAGAGGTAGTGATCATGAAAAAAAACCTCGCTAGTTCCCCACGAACGCTTCGCGCTTTCGCCTTTCATTAGGAAAAAGTACTGGAAATAAGAATGCATAGGCTTGTTCGAAAAATCAAACATACGAGAAATATTATTAAGAAGTTGGAAATAACTGGTGGGATGTGACGGTTATATCTTGAGAAGAGAAGAGTAGGCACTACACCTTCCACCCATACCTCAGTTAGGCCCACTTAAACCCTACCGTGCCAAGGCACTTCCTGCCGGTGGGAAAATTTTTTGAAAAGAAAGACTTCCCCTCTCTCCCGACGATTAGTAGGTGTCAAAGGTTAGGGAAGGGACAGTAAATCCCTCGTCGTGGAAGAATACACATTCCCGACTGGTCCTTGTTGGCTTCCTAAGAACTATCCAGAATGCTTCTCACGCCTTTCCAGCTGAAAGGTCCGTCTCATGCCGGCACAGTGCGGTTTATTTCGAGTTTGGTCCCATAATGTTCCACAGCCTTATGCCTTCCCAATGCCAGCTGTAGAATGAGAGATCGCGACGTGCATTCCTCAATATTTCATGCGGAGACAATGTATATACTTCACTTTCTACTAACTAGCTGTCTAGTGCAGCAGGGCACCTTTCGCTCAAACGGTAGAACCACTGGTGAGTCTGTTTTTCACGGTATTGGCGTTCTCGATGGGTTCCTGTCGGAACCGCTAGAGTTGACGAGGGGTAGGTTGCGAATTTAATGCTTTAAACATATTCAGGCCACTGAACACGACGATTGAGTCGAAACGTTGGGCCATTTTCAATAAAGATAATAATAACTAAAATAATAATAGTAATAATAATAATAATAATAATAATAAAATTCCACCTAACAACCTCGTAATTCACAAGACAATCGAAAGACTTACAACTAACATGCTGAGTTTACAAAGAACTAAAGCTGGAGAAATGAGGCTTTTCCCGTTGTACTATAAAGAGGTAGAAACAAGAAAAAATAAAAAAAAAAAGAAAAAGGCAGAAAATTACAAGCAGAGGAACCCTGCAAGGCAAAGGAAGACTCCCCATGCGTATGACGTCATTCCTGTACACACATGACGTCATTACACTCCGTTATTCAGGAAGTTTTTTGAGGGAGGATTGGAAAACGTTTTTTAATTAAAAATTGCAAAGACAATACGGTTCTTCTGTTCGTGGAACGTTTGGAAAATCTTTGAACATGTGGCGACCTTTGGTTTTCCGTAACAATGACACGGCGCCATAAAACTGAACAAAGCTCTGCCAGACCGGCTGTATTTTGACGGAACATCTCTTAAATCCCTCGGGAGGAGATTTGTCCCAAATCTTCTCATGCCTAGTCAATTAAGCACTTTTTAGCCACAGATAATCAGAAAAAAATTTGAAGATCATTCCGAAAACGGTTGGCAAGCTCTAATGTCGCTTATCAAATCGCCTAGGCGGCGCTGACCATCCCTACAGAAATGAGAATATTAGTTTTTGAAAAATGTTACAAAGTTGACCAGTTAGCAGTTAAGTAATAAGGGGCTAATGACGACAACCGGCGCTCCACTTCGCTGTGTTCGTGGAATGTCGGCGACCAGGGGTGTTTGCAAAAAGGGGAGGGAGTAGAGAGGCGGCGATCGATGTGGTCCCGCCCGACGGGTAGAGATAGGGGAGATAAGAAAGAGAAGGCAAACGGCGGATGTGAAGTCGAGGTGTTACTGCGATTGTGTGATAAGATTTTGGGGCTAACATATTAGGTCATCTAATAGCCTTACCCAGTCATAGCGCGCTCTAAACTTATAATAGGTCCTCATCTCTCCTTCGGGCTCCCAGAAATCATTTTTAGAAGCACTCATGCAAGGGGAGCTTTCCTTCTAAAGGTTCAGCTTCCTTCTCCAGTGAGATAGGGCCTTAAAGCACCAACTGGCTT